GTCCGTCCGTCCGTCCGTCCGTCTGTCCGTCCATGTAAACCTTGTAATCAAACTACAGGTCGCAATTTTGAAGATAATTGAATGAAATTTGGCACGTGATCTTCTATTGTCCCAGGGACGAAGCCTATTGAAAATGGTTAATATCGGTCCATTATTTCACCTAGCCCCCATACAACTGAGACCCCGAATAGGGCTTGTAAACCTTGTAATCAAACTACAGGTCGCAATTTTGAAGATAATTGAATGAAATTTGGCACATGTTCTTCTATTATCCCAGAGACGAAGCCTATTGAAAATGGTTAACATCGGTCCATTTTCTCATCTAGCCCCCATACAACTGAACCCCCGAATAGGGCTTGTAAACCTTTAATCAAACTACAGGTCGCAATTTTGAAGATAATTCAATGAAATTTGGCACATGATCTTCTATTGTCCCAGAGACGAAGTCTATTGAAAATGGTTAACATCGGTCCATTTTCTCATCTAGCCCCCATACAACTGAACCCCCGAATAGGGCTTGTAAACCTTTAATTCAAACTACAGGTCGCAATTTTGAAGATAATTCAATGAAATTGGCAGAAGATCTTCTATGGTACAGGAGACGAAGCTTATTGAAAATGGTTAACATCGGTCCATTATTTCACCTAGACCCCATACAACTGAACCCGACGAATAGGGATTTTAAGTTTATACCCAACAAACCAAAAAGCTTAAAATTCGTTTATAACAAACTTACTACCATAAGCGTTAGGTTTGCAAAACTATTATGATAATTATTGTAAAATGCTTGTTAACAATTATTTTATCAAGAAAATTGAACCTTGTGATAATATTCCTAGTTGCAGTTTACAACAAGCTTAGAATCGCAATTATGAAATAAGCTTACTGAAAAATAGTTTTTGAAACATGATTGAAGTAAGCTTATTTTCGTAACATTTTTATAAGCTTGTTAATTCAATTAAAACAATATTTTTTTTGTTTCATACATATTTTTTATTTTCATTACTTTACTGATATTTTTCAATTATACTTTCTACAATTTGCACTTTTCTATATATATTTTACGTATTAGTCTATTATTGGTAAATGGAAAGACTTGTTTATACTTTTATGAACTCGTCCTCCCTCAATCCTATAGAAAAAGCGGCATCTATAAAATAAAAAAGGACATTGTTTTATTATGTGGCAGTTTTTATATATTAATTAAATTACCATTTTTAAACACAAATTTTATATTACTTTATTTTATAAAATTACACTCTTAAACACTTAAAACACTGCCTTTGCCAAACTAAACAAGAAGACTGAAATGAAGAAGAATAATAATAAGAAAAACACGCAATAAAATAACGGGATATCTTATAGGAAAACAATTACAAAACTATTGCGATCATTAGTCTTTTACAATCACATTTGTAAAACTTGTTATCCTAACTAAGTGTACAGCAAGTATTATTGCAAATATTGTTGCTATACGAAGCGTTTTTTAAGCATTATTTTAAAAGTATTTATAATTTCCATTAAAATAACCTATCATAAGTATCCTTATGAAATGTTGTAGAAAATTCTTTATTATAAGTTTATTTTAAAATGTAGTTATATTTTGATTATGGCTTGGTTTGTTGGGTAATTATGTTTAATATAATCGTATCTCGACAAAAAGCTGCAAAACCAATTTCTATACTAGCCTTGATGACTCTCATGAATTTTATAATAATAGGGTCTCATTTGACCATAGCCCCTATACAAATCCCCCTTCAAAATTTGACTTAAATGTCCACAATATTATTCAACAATAAATGGCTTAAGTATAATTCAAGGCAAGGTGCAATTCAACTTAAATGCTTTATTATGAAAACTAAATCACATTTTATATTTGTAACAGGTGTAGGGTATTATATGGTCGGCCTCGCCCGACTATAATTTCTTGCTTGTTTAGATTTAATTTTTTCATAAATTTTTCTATTGTATATAATATATCCACTTCTATATTCTCGAATACATATGCATGTTTCCTGGATTTTTAAGCATTTGATGGGTTCGAGTGACTTAGCCGATAACCTCTACATATGACTTTCCAGATGTAGTCGTTGGTATTATATTCAATAGTTATAATTTATTTAGTTTTGTGGTAAAGTATTATATCTTCGTTTTATTTCAATCAGTTTAGTTTCTTGTAAAAATCTACAGCTGATCCAGCTAATATTCCATTTACAAACCCAGAACATGTCTGTAATATTGTAGTGAGAAATGGATGATAAAACCCCTTGTATGGTTATTAGGGTGATCGATTATTCGACATTTTCCAAAAACCGGTTTTCGAATAGTTCGAATAGTTGACATTTGAAAAAAACCGGTTGACATTTTTCAAATCCAGAAAAAACCGGTTAACCGGTTTTTCATTATAAATAACAAAATCTATTTTAATTTGAAAAAATAGACGTTTATGTTTAAATTTAATTAATAAAACAGGACTTAACTGTTTTTTAACAGTTTAAAAGATTATAACTTTACATCTAGTCGTCTGATTTACTTTATTTCTTTAATGTAAAAAATGGAAAAAAGTAGAACACTTCTGTTGAACATAAGGAACTATGTAATTCTAGCTTATTCTAAAATCCCTATTTAGACAACTTTCATAGTCATTCCAACACTTCCATAATGTTTTAGCCGCAAATTTATTATTGTAATTGAAATATAATCTTAAGATTGATAAAATTTTATCAAACTGTTATTCCAATAAACTTTACAAATAATAATTGTTAATTAATTAGGAAAATCAAAAAAGTTTAACCCAAGGTGCATTAGAAAAATATACTCTAGTTCCTGGACTCCAATATTTTTAATATATAGACGGGCTGTATTTTTATTTACTTCAAAATTTAACTTAAGTAATCTTTGAATACAAAGCAAATTAAAAGTATTCGAAACCGGTTTTTAAAAAGTAGAAAAACCGGGTTGTTCGATATTCGAAAAATCAACATTTAGAAAAAACCGACACTGGTATAACAGAAAAAACCGGTTTTAGAACCGGTTGAAAATCCGAGTCGATCACCCTAATGGTTATTAATCGGTGTAATCATATCTTCCATAGAATTTGCATTGAAAATTCTTTATCTAATGCTAAAGAGTGCCCAGTCTGTTTTCTCACATATGAGTTAAAGGATGTTTGAAAATTTTCATTTCCCATTAAGCAAAATCCTAATAGACCAAGAGGCAAAGCTCGTGGAGCTGTTTCAAAACTTATAATACTAGAAGTGTTAGTAAAAATCTTTTTCAAGACCCTACAACTCCTCACAATAATACGACTGGTGGATAATTGATTAACCCCAGAACTCCACCTCAGCAAAACGTTGTCCCTTCTGGAATGCCTTCCAATGAAAGAAATAATCCCCAGCTAATACCACAACCCAATTCACCAACTTTAATAGATTATAATCGTATAAATCAAATGATAGAGTCTAGTATTTCAAGAGCTTTACAAAATCTCAATTTGTCTATCCAAAACCCTCTGATTCCTCCACAATATCCTTCGGGAAATTCTAATTTAATAGGAAACATAATGGAAACTGATATACAACAGGTTTTACGAAATTTAAATTCTAACAACTCTGCAAACTCTGCTAACAACCAACAATATCAACTACCCAATTCTAACAAAAACAATCCCGGAAATAATCCCATGTTAACTCATCAGAATCGACCTCAAAATATTTACAATTATTTTCCAAATCATTTTAATCGACAACCAAATGCTATGAGAACACCACCTACAAATTCCCAAGTTTCTACGATAAACACCGATAAAATTACATCGATTATCCAAAACTGGTGTTTAAAATTTGACGGTTCAACTACTGGGTTAACCGTAGAAGAGTTTTTGTATAGACTAACCTCTCTAACCAACGATAATTTCAATGGAGATTACACGATTATATGTAAGAATCTTCACATACTTTTATCAGGGAAAGCGCGAGATTGATTCTGGCGCTATCACAAGCAGGAAAGAGGTGTTATCGATTGGAACGAATTCTGCAATGCGATTAGCTCTCAATATAAAGATTTCAAGTCTTCTTTTGATCTTCGTGAGGAAATAAGAAATAGAAGACAAAAACCAGGAGAGTCATTTGATGTTTTTTATGATTCTATATCCGCAATTATGGACAGGTTGCCTTCTGCATTTTCGGAAATGGAATTAATTGAAATCATAATGCGAAACTTAAGACCGGAAATAAGGCAAGATTTGCTGTATATTCCTGTACATTCAATACACCATTTACGAAAACTAGTCCAAATGCGGGAATCTTTTCTTGAAGACGAGCATGTTAAGCGAAACTTGAACAACCGTACTGCTAATACTCATCAACCTCGAAGACATATTGCTGAAGTCGATTTAGATTCTGAAGATGCTAATCCTGTATGCTCTGAAACTTCTATAGATGCGTTACATAATAACCCCACTGTTCCACGCTGCTGGAATTGCGATAAACCAGGCCATGTTTGGGAAGACTGCCTTTACGAAAGAACTATTTTTTGTTATGGTTGTGGGGCTAAAAATACTTATAGACCACAGTGTCCCAAATGTAAAGACAAAAAATATTCAGAAAACTACAATCCTCCACCTCCGAACAAGAGTTCCCAATAAATAACAACTTTTCCTTCCATACCTTAAACCATCAAACAACTACTGCAGAAAATACTAACATTTGTCGTCCACAAAATACTTTCGTAGAAAACTCAGAGAATCCTAAAACTGATCCTTGTTGTTACAAGATTTTGAAAAACCAGATTCGAGATCTGAGGATAACAACATTATTTCGATAAACTTATTCACCCTATTTTACCCTATTATAAAAGATTGGAAAACTATTATTTAAGGCGTAATACAATTTTTAAGGATGTCGAATTAGCTTCACTTAAACGATCTAAACCTAAACGTTCCACAACAAGACTCAAAGATTATTATAGAAAACGAAAAATTTGCTCGAAATTATTACTCTATGCTATCCTTAGTGATCCAAAAGATAACCTATGCAAAGGTGTCTTTTCTAGATTATGTAGAATATGGCTTGTTAGATACTGGTGCTAGCATTAGCTGCATTGGATCTGAATTAGCTAAAGAAAATTTTTCAAAATTCCAAAATTTTATAAGTTGCAGAAACTTTGTCAAAACTGCCGATGGGGCTCAACAACGCGTTATAGGTTGGCTTAATGTAAATATCACGTTTAAGGAAATGTCTTGTCCAATTAACCTTTTTGTAATACCAACAATTTCTCAACGACTTATACTTGGAATTGACTTTTGGAAGAAATTTAAATTAGTACCGATTGTCATTGAATCCGCGGATTTATTTGATAAGTCATCGGTTAGCGCAAGTCCGTCTGTTTCGTCCGATAAGTCCGAAAGTCTGTCCGAGGTTTGTGGTAAATCTGATGGTGAGAAATCAGATAATAACTATATGTTAACTTCAAGTCAACAACAGCAATTAAACGCTGTAATTTCTCTTTTTCCAAACTTTGAAAAACAAGGGTTGGGAAGAACGGGCTTAATAAAGCACTTGATCGATGTTGGTGAAGCCAGACCGATCAAGCAAAGGTTCTACCCCGTATCACCAGCAGTGGAAAAACTAATGTTCACACAAATTGATAGAATGTTGACATTGGGTGTTATTGAACCGTCAAACTCACCCTGGAATTCCCCGATGAGACTGGTTATAAAACCGAATAAAGTCCGCCTTTGTTTAGATGCGAGAAAAGTGAATTCTGTCACGAAAAAGGATGCCTATGCACTACCATCGATTGAGGGAATCTTTGCGCGTCTTCCAAAAGCCAACATCATTTCCAAGTTAGATTTAAAAGACGCGTATTAGCAAATAGCATTGGATGATGAATCGAAGCCCATAACTGCTTTTACAGTGCCTGGTAGACCCTTATACCAGTTTACTGTAATGCCCTTCGGGTGTGCAATGCACCCCAAACAATGAGTAGGCTTATCGATGATCTAATTCCCCCGGACTTGAACAACAGCGTCTTTGGTTATCTTGACGATGTGATTATTGTTTTGAGAACTTCGTAGAACATATTGGTATTTTAGTTCGTATAGCTGGACAGTTCCGTAAAGCTAATTTGACCCTAAACATATCGAAAAGTAAGTTTTGCGTTACAAAAGTAAAATACTTAGGTTATATTATTGGAGATGGTGGTATAGTGACAGACCCAGAAAAAGTAAGTGCGATCAGAAACTGGCCAACTCCAAAGAACATAAAACAAGTTCGTGGCTTCTTAGGTGTTGCAGGCTGGTATAGGCGCTTTATTGCGAACTTTTCAAGCGTAGTTTACCCTATATCAGAAACCTTGTCAACTAAGAAGAAGTTTGTTTGGACTCCCGAGGCTCAGCAGGCTTTTGAACAAATCAAAGAATTACTATCTTCTGCTCCTATTCTAAGTAACCCTGATTTTGAGAAAAAGTTTTTCGTTCACTGTGATGTCAGCGATTTTGGTATCGGTGCTGTGCTCGTCCAACTGGATAATAATAACGAGGAAAAACCGATTGCTTTTATGAGCAAAAAGCTTAATTCCGCACAGAGAAATTACAGTGTGACGGAACGTGAATGTTTAGCGGCGATAGAAGCTATTCAACGATTCCGATGCTATCTTGAACTCCAAGAATTCGAGGTTATAACTGACCACTCCAGTCTTGTTTGGCTGATGAAGCAGCCGAATCTAAGTGGAAGGTTAGCCAGATGGGCGTTGAAGCTTCAAGCCTACAATTTCACCATAAATCATCGCAAAGGTAAAGAGAACGTCGTACCAGATGCTTTGTCACGTATTGAGTTCGAAGAAGTTAATTCTTTAGATTTGTCAGAGCCAGAAATAGATTTGAATTCCGCATGTTTTGATGATCCAGATTACTGTGATTTGAAGAATAAGATACAGGAAAACCAATCCCAGTTTCCTGATATAAAGATGGTAGAAAAGTATGTAAACATACGAACCGAACATTATGGCGGTATTGAATCAAACGAAAGCGAAGCTTGGAAGCTGTGGATTCCATATGGTCTTCGAACAACGCTTATAAAACGTTTTCATGATCCACCTACGGTATCTCATGGAGGAATGTCCAAAACTTTGGAACTTCTACGAAGAAAATTTTACTGGCCAGGAATGGTAGTAGATGTTAGGAATTTTGTCAGAAACTGCGAATTGTGTAAAACCACCAAGCACCCACATTTTGTGTTGAAACCGGAAATGGGTAAACAAACTATAACAATACGTCCTTTTCAGAGATTATATATAGACTTGTTAGGGCCCATATCCGCGTAGTAAGAAAGGAAATATTGGTATTCTTATAGTCTTAGACCATCTGTCAAAGTTTCAGTGGTTACAACCTCTGAAAAAGTTTACGTCTTTGTCAATAAAAGACTTTTTACAAACACAGATATTTCACGTTTATGGGATACCGGAAACGATCGTGAGTGACAATGGGTCGCAATTCAAAGCAAATGACTTAAATGCATATTTTACTTCTCTAGGTATTAAACATATTTATACAGCCGTTTATTCACCACAATCAAACGCTTCAGAACGTGCAAACCTTTCAATTATAGCGGCGATTAGAGCTTTTTGAAACACGATCATACCAAATGGGATGAAAATCTCAGTACGATCAACTGTGCTTTACGAAACGGATACCATCAATCAATAAACATGTCACCATATCATGTTCTGTTTGGATTTAACATGATAACACATGGATCCCCATATGCTTTGCTAAATAACTTTAAAACACTAAATGAACCTACAGCTTCATTATCTAGAGATGACCATCTACAATTGATTAGAAAAGACATACAGAAATATTTAAACCAGGCTTATAAACAAAATCAGAAAACCTATAATCTACGAACTAGGCCAGAAAAGTTCCATATTGGTCAAGAGGTTCTACGTAGAAATTTCGTACAGAGTAGTATGGAAAAGCGATTTAATGCAAAATTTGCCCCATTGTTTGTAAAAGCCACTGTTAAGGAAAAGTTAAGAAACCATTACTATGTTTTATCTGATTCCGAAGGAAAAATTGTAGGAACTTATCACGCTAAGGATATTCGTACATAAAGGCACATATATTCCATTTAAGATCGCCTTAGTTGTATTCAATCCATTTCAAATTTCTGTATAATCCTAATTCGATTTCATATTCTGCAAATTAATGTTAATTTCCTCAAAGAAATCTTTCTTTCATTACATCCTTTTATTTATATTTTAATAATAAATGTATTTTCAATTTAACGGTATATTTGACCCAGAACAAAAACCAATAACGTTCTTTTTCTTCCTAACATTTCTACTCATAGAGTAAGTGTTATGCAGTTTGTGGTGAACGTTTTTACAATTTTACTATTGAATATTATTTTTTATAGAATTTAGTTTTTTTTTGCATAAATATCAAATAGTATCAACTCTTATTAATACTTTTAATAAATACTTTTTAAACCATATACCATATATAACTTATTGTTTGTTCTAATTTTACACCAAAATTGTTTATTACACCCAATATCGGAATGATACATGTATATTACATTATCAGCTGTTGTGGATTACAAGAGGTGATACACATGTAATGTTTTTATATATCAGCAACATCTAATGTTATAAACATTTACTCATAGTTTATACGCATGTGAGTATAAACAATGCGTAAGTAAACAACACGTTTAGTTACTTATCCCATTAAGGGCTAATCTTTAGGTGAAAGATTAGCGATTAAATTAAAATTAATCCTCGAAAGATGTTTTTGAGTACTCAATTAGTTAATTTTGTTTGCAAGTTTAAGCGCCCAATGGAGGTGGTTTAATCTTAAGCACGAAATGCAAAAGTGTAAACAGCTGATGCAAAAAAATTAATAAAATTTTTATAAATATAAACATTAAAATATTCTATTTATTGATTAGTATAAATTATGGACACTTCAAAATACATTTTTTGTTTTTAATTTAAGTGTTCATTAATTTTCATATTAAATTTACAATTGTCTTCTTCTTTTTTATAAAATATGCATTGTTTTGATAACAAACAGTGAAGTATTCTGTTGCTTTGTATAGCAACACTGCGAAGTTTAATCTTGTACTCAAAAACATCAAAGGGGATTAACATAAGATTAAATTTATTTTAGATTAACTAATCTGATTATTAATTGGCATTTGATTACCATCTCAAAAACCCGCTCTAAATGTATCAAAGTAAAATCCATAAAGTTGATTAAGGTACCACCGAATGATTTTGCAAAATTAATAATTTTGAGCTAAAAATTGCTTGAAAACTAAACAGAAATTAAAGATATTCTTGGGAAATTGATAAAGAACCAAAAGATAAACTTTTATTAGTATAATATTCGGCCAGTCGCCTTACGTAGCCACCAATTTCAAAGATTTTTGTCGATAATAATGTGTTGGTTAATTGACATTAACTCAAAATGCTTTTAGCTTGATAATTATTCTCATAAAAGTTAAATGCTATGTATCCAAAAGTTTTAACTTCCTTTTTCTTCAAAATTTTGTGACATCCAGTCGTATCAAGCTACCAATAAAACGTGGAAAAAATAGTTCAAACTAAAATAAGGTTATTTTCACCTCAGTTTTGGATTAAAGCCATTTTACATTTATATATTGAAATCTTTGTTCGAAAAACCATTCAATAAACTGGTAAGAAATTGTATTTTTATAGTGCGTTTATTCGATTAAAATCAGATGAAAATTTCCTATATTTTATCCAGAATCTATGAAAATTCCAAACTGGTAGACAAATGTGTTTTTAGCACATGTGTTCCTAAGACACAATTTATTTCTACCATCTGAAATTCTACTAATCATAAACTGATTCTGTAACCGGTTAACAATAAATACCACTCTCTGAAGTGTTTAATCCACCAACAAAAACACCTCCTGATCCCAGATTCGGAGCAAATTGTGAGTTTGGATTGCTTAATTGTTCGGATTATAATTTGCCTTTACGATTCATCTGTAAGATCCTAGTACTAGCTGTTTTAATCTTCTACCAAAGACTTGCCAGAAGAATCCCTATTACATCTACCAAAAGCTACATCTTGCCAAAACAAATCATCAAATTTAAAAAAAATTGTCGACAACCATCACCTAAATTTCCAGAATTGAACATCCAAAATTGCCTGATAACTAATACCTGCCAAAAATAGATCGAAAATCAATCAATATTATAAAACTACATACACCTTTTAATCTACCTACCTATATTAAACCAAAATAGTGGAACAAAATAATACCTCATTGTATCCAAAACGGAGTCAACTATCTATCTAAGAGTATTCTATAATATAAAATTTTTTCAAATACAGCTTAATTAACCCATCGAGAACGGAGAGGCCTCATCGTCATCGGTGTAAACTTGGGTGAGTGAAACCAAACTTTTATATTTTACTATATTTGTAGAACACTCTTGGCTACAAATAAAACCACAAAACTAGTCAATGAATAGTATCCAAAGTCTTTTGTTAATGAAACCTTAATACTTTCCACATTGGATTGAGTTCTTGTTTGGATCGTTTGTTTTTTTTTTTTAATTCATTGATAAAATTATGTTGTTTTATTTGTCACACTAAAAACTCCCAAAGCATCATCTAATTTAGTGCTCTTCGATAATTCGAGCATAATACATGCTTTGAATTAGAAAAGAATCTGCAAAATTATGAATTATATGTTGCTTTATTAAAAGTGAAAAACGTAAACAATGATACATTAAAAGAAATCCACAATTATTGGTATTATTTATCTTCTATTCTTATTATTCAAATCAAAACAAAACAAAATTTAAATGCACATGCTAAAATGTTTTTAAT